GATTTTCCAATACCCAACTTAGCCAATCTGCTCGTGCTCCTTCTATCTCGGGAGGAATTTTCAAAGGGCGACGTTAAGCAGAAAACGAAATGAAATGTCCCGCTTCCCCTCCCCCATGATACCCCTTTAGTACAGAGAAATCTCTGCGAAACAAATCAGCCAAACTAGACATTTCATTTCAGCAAGGTATTATGTTCTAAATTATCCGGGTATCAAGTTAGCACAGCCATTTCAGCGTCAACGTAAGAAAAGCCCTAACCAGTTCACTGTGACACAAGGAAGTACCCCTGAAAACTCAACAGATTTAACGAAACGCACATCAGAAAACGTTCTTCGAGAGCAGAGCCACGCGTTCCATCACCCAGTGTACGTGATTAAGGACTCGCTCCATGCCTTCAACTCTAGCTCAGACGACAAGCCAGATTATTTGGACCACAGGGGCCCTCATGCACTAGGTGCTTTCCACAGGCAGAGCAGGAAATCTCTGCCCTGAAGAGTTCACTGTCACTTAAATGGGATTTCACTCTGGAAGAACAAACACTAGGGCTTCTGCCTCCTTAGCTTCACAGGATCTTTTTAGAGGACCTTGCCATGACTTCAAGGCAAACTCTGGTCATGGCGCCTGCCAACAGGCACCGAACATTGTCAAAGAACATCAAATCCAGACACTTTCACAGCAGCAAGCAGCATAGTTTGAGTAGCTGTGTTCTAGAAGGGCAGCTGCCAGGAGAATTACCTTCTGTCTCCACTTGAATTCAATTTCCCAGTTAAGAAGTTGCACGGTCACATTGCCAAAAGGCAAAACTGAGCATAAAATCCAGTCCCAGCCCTGTTGCTCTCACTATTCTTCACCAACTATATTTGAAAAATTCCCCACATTCAATAAGACAATCCCTGCAGAGCTCCATTGTCTCAAATTATTAATTAAACATGCTCTCAAAGAAGCAAATGCCTAAAATCATTTGCTTCTAACTAAGCAACTCCCATATTACCCTAACTGCAATTCAGACAGTCTAAGTATATCCATTCACTGTAATTCAGAAGGGACCACCACCAAAGAAACTCTCTCTGCACTCCAGTTCAAGAACATACATGCATGCACAGGCCGCAAGAGACCCCATCGAAAAAAAAAACAGCCAATTTTCCTAAAAACCTGCTCAGTGTTGATAACTTGTCCCAGCTGAGTATCTCGACCATCTTCTCATTCCCCTCAGGAGTACTAGATGGCTGTTTGGATTTGTAATGAGCTATGCAACCTTTCATAACCAAGGCAAATCCAACCTAGGCCATTACTCATCAGGAGTCACCTTGCACCTCTCCACTCACCTGTGTGAAGCTCTGATCTCTACCCAGCCTTTTGCAGGACGAACAGCACACGAACACCCCGGTGCAGCTAGCGTAACCGTTTGCCCAAACAGCCTGAAGAGCAATCAGGCATCATAAATGAACGACAGCCTAAACCTCTCCAGTGTGACTCTTAGAATTACTGGTGGACATTGACACTCAGCCTCATCTTGCAGCTTTTTGTGGATAAAAAGAGAAGACGTCCTTTTGCAGTCAAGACCTGGCTGACGGAAGCGTCTTCCATGTAAAGTTTGGTGATTAAGTATTTGTAGCTGCAGACAGTTGAAGTTTGCTTAGGAGTTCAGAGATTCCAATCTAGAAAAATGTCCGATTTCACCATTACTTCAGTGTCTGCAAGAACAAAGAGGAATTTATAATATATGCTATTTGTGTGGGTGGCATATCTTTGATACCTAAATATGCAAAATGACAGCAGCATCTTTAATTGCTTAATTTTATATAAAAACTTGCCCCCCCCCCCTTCTGGAGGAGAAGGGAAAAATGCAAAGGGAAAAGAAAGTTTCTAGGTAAAATACAAAAAGAACCAACACTTTCCTACTGTTCGCAACAAGAGGACGCTATCTACTTCCTTGGGAGCAGAGAAACTTTTTCTTTAGTCATTCCTACTAAAGCCATTCAGAGCTCAATTCTCAGAGCTGCTACTCAAAGTATGAACAAATGACAAGGAGGAACAGCCAGCACAATAAAAAATGAAAAGCAAGGATACCGTAAATAAGTTCTGACTCACAACACTCACAGCTATTTAATAACACATGATGAAATGCTATCATTTGGTAAAAATCACTGGAGTATTATCACCAGATGGAAATAGATGTCTGTCTACATACAAAGAAGAAACTGGGATTCAACAATTTAAAAAAAAAAATCCCTCTACCTTTAATTATAACCTCCCAAGCTCTAGGCAGACATTAACCTATATTACCCTATAATTATTTTTTCTGAATTTCCATTATCTTTTAGCTACTGAGTTTCCTAGCCAGTCTTCAAGGCAACAAGGCAAGGGCCCTCACTGCATTATCTTTGAAAGTCTAAAATCAAAAGGACAGTAATGTAAGTGTATCCATAAGAAATTGAGACTTAGCAGACATCCACAATGAGTCCCCACCTCTCTGCAAGTCCCAGCACTTCCTTCCACTTCTATTCTTGCAGGACAAATTCAATTCTATCCCAGCTAAGCCCAAACTGAATTAAATCATTTTGCATGCATAAGACTATTTCTTCCTCCAAGGAATTTAAAATTTAAGAAGCAGATGCAGAGGTGGCCAAAAGTCAAAAGGAATGGCAGTATTAGGATTACACATATCCTACATTCTGCTCCCCATGAGTAAAACCCCGAGGCAAACGGAGAACCATGGAAAAAGAGGCACTCAAGAAAGGCTGAAGCAATAAACACACAGATAAAACTGCCCAGCAATCACTGGAGTATATGGTATCAAGCAAGACACACGAGAAAAGGGTTACTGCATCATCTCAGAGCTGACTTTGAAGAAATTAGACACAAAGATCAGTTTAAAGATGCATACTGAATGTAAAACATCAGGACTCTGTGACAAATACATTACAGCCAATGTAAAAACCACCAGGAAGTACAACAGATAAGGTCCCAACGTTAATTATATTACAGTGGGTATTTCTTGAGCTTCAGATCACAGAACACATGGGGGAAAACCAGAGAAAGCATCACACAGAACCTTGTGAGCTTAATCCTGCAGGTATATTTTGTCCATACGACCTTCTCAGAAGTGTTCTGCCTCCAAAGAATACATGCGTTATTTTTTAAAAGCTCGTTTAAACTAGTATAAGCTAATGAGTTTTTCTTTAGGTGGTACATTTATTAGTATCATTTTGTTCAAGAAGCTACTGAAGAAAAATCAAGCTGAGGAAGGGCAACACATCTACTGACACCAGGGCACCTCTCTGTAACAGGTAGGATTCTTTTGTTCGAGTGAAAGTTTAAGTCTTCTGGTTATTAAAGAACCCAGTAAAAAAAGTTCAAATACCAGTGCAATTTTTAATGACTGCAAAGTTTGGGTGTCCTGACCCTGCCCCCCCCCCCATCCCCACTGAGTTTTGTTGTCTTTGCTTTTTTTCAGAGAAAGGAAGATGAAAGTGTGAGTTGGAGGAAAAAAGGACTGAGAATTCTATGATGTTCATTTTAATTCATTAAGTCATCTTTCCACAAAATGTCCAAACAAAAGCAGTCCCTGCCCAAACATGTCCACACCAGACTGCGTGACAGTTTTTATTTGCAAAACCTAAAAGTTGCAGCCTTTCAGTAAGAAATTTTTGCTTACTGGTTCTTACACAACTTAAAGCGCATTAAGATCTCTTCCACTGATGTCTCTTGCAACAAGTTTTACATTTAGGAGCTGAAAATTTGGATAGTTAACAGAAAAATTACATCTCATTTCAATGCAGTTATTTCCTTTAAAGTGATAACTTAACTAAATACTGTGTTTCCACATCAGGGAATAACTACAATATTCTTCTAGCTGCTTAGTTCATATTGCAGTATTTTATGTGATTTTTCTTCCAGAACAAACTAACAGGGCACTTGGGTTTACTTCTCTGTTTACTTCTCTGTTGATGTACACACCAACTTCAGTGAGGTTGCAAAATTCCCTGCAATGTTTGCTTTTAAATGGTCCGGATGGCAACACATCCCCTGGGGAGGCACAGCAGAGGAGCAAGGGCTTGTTCACTTTTATTTGAAAAACTAGAGGCAGGAGATATTCATAAAGGTTGCAAAAGCTTTGTGTCTGCTGCTCTGACAGTATTTGTGGGAATCATTCGTTTCTAAAACGCGCTTATGCTTAAGTTCTGCTCCCTCAGCAGAGGAAGCACATCTTTAAGGAGTTACTTACAGGTCACAGACAGAAAGCCAGAGTGAGTCATGCACTCACTTAACTCGCAGCACATCTGACAATGCAACTACTGCAAAGACTTCTAGTAAACACTACTACTGAGACACGTCTTGGCCCACTACCCTTTTAGAAACGTTACGTCGCTGTAAGAAGTTAGCTGTGTTTCTAAAAGCACTGCTTCATGACATTCTTAAGGCTGTTCTCTTCTCAGTTCAGCTAAGCACATTAATAGCTCCTTCCCCTCCCAATTACAACAACAACAAAAAAAACCCAAACCCCAAAACAAACAAGCAAAGAAACCCAGGAAAACACATTACCAGCAACTTCCAGAACTGTGTTTTTCAATATTGGGAATGGTAAAAGCCCAACCTACATGCATTGGCAGTTTTGTAATACCATTACATAAGAATTATTTAACTACAGCAACAGATCTGAAAAGCAGCAGCAGTCACCGCTACGCTGGTTCACACATCCAAAAAAAAAAAAAACAACAAGAAAAAAATCAATAAAGAGAATGATAAATTTTGCAAACGTGCATTTGACTGTCACAGAGAGTGGATTGGGATTTCAACACCCTCGAGAGCAGAAACGTTTCGGCTTATAGCTACCAAGGCACCGCAATCCTGAAAAGAGAAAACAAAAAGTACAACTGTTGCCATTCCAACCGCACGACCACCAGCTTAAGCTTTAAAAAAAGCGTCATTAAAAGCATCTATCATAAGCCCGATGCGTTCACGTGTTGCGTTTGGAAACATTGAACTTTTTTTTTACCTGATGTTCTGCATGAATGTTATCCCCAGTAGGCCAGCGATGTTTGCTGTTATTATAGCCGCCTCCACCACTTCCTCCTCCCCCAAGCTGCTCACCATGCTGCCTCTGGAAGAAGTAATCCACCATAGCGTCGTCCTGGGAGCGGCCTGCGACTCCTATGGATCCAGGAACAGGACTGGAGTGCGTCCCCGCTGCAAGCGCCTGATTTGCAGCTGGCTGTTGCTGAGCCTGGGACCCTGTTCCAGATGTCAATACAACAGGCATGTTGGGATTAGCTGTATCTTGAGCGTGCTGTTTCAGGTGGGGGCTGAACGAGTCCTGCCAGAGTACTGCTTTTCTCTTCAAAACACACGCAACGCTCATTCCACCAACACCTGCGGGGGGTGAGGGGACGGGGGAGGGATGGCGAGAGAGAGAAGGAAAAGAAAACATGAAATCCTTACAGCTTCAGCTTTACATATTAAATAACACACCCATCTTGTGACCGGCAGGGAAACATCACGATGCCAAGTCTGACTCCTTTTAACATAGTTACTTGCTCCATTAACCTAGCAACTAAAATATCATGTAAAAATGCACGCTAGCCAAAAATCCCACATTTCGTGCTGCAAAGTGTTATCAGCACATGCGAGATTTGTGTAAGGTGCCCATTACGCTGAAATCAGAACGGCAATTTATGCGATGGACAAAACACCGACTGGAGTGCTGCCACAGAAGATTGCTAGAAAAAAGCCCCCAAAAAACCCGGTGGAACGCAAATTACACCATCAGTGCCTGCCATGCTTGTTTACACCTGACAAATTATGAGGCAGATCTTCAATCAATGTGCGAGTCCCACCGTATCACCATGTGTTCACTCACTGAGTGAACTCACTGAGTGAGCACATCATCAAGGCAACAGGTTTTTTGGGTTTTTTTTTTCCAAAGGCAAACTTAAAATACCCCATTTCTGCTTATACAGTTAATTAAGTCCCAAACACAACGTGCACTCTCCCTGCAAACTCAGAAGCTGGCTTCAGTCGTGAGATGGTAAAACACACCGGCATGTTTTGTACAAGATTCCCTGGAGAAAGAGCAGCTAACCTCTCGATGCCCGGGATCCCGGCAGAACCTTCCAGAGCTGGGGCAGCAGGCAGTGCCAGTCCTGCTGTCAACGGCACCAGGGGAAAGCCGGACGAGTCACAAAAACCGCCCAACGCTGAAAAAATACCCCAAATGCTTTGCACACACCCAAAATCATCTGCGTGCAGGAGGCCAACAGGCAGACTAGGCTGACAGCAACTCACTAATTTACCAGCCCCCCCAATATTTTGAGAGCACACCAGCATCACAAAAACACGTACATGAGTGTGTTTGTTATTTTAAGACAACATTATCAGCTGACCCTGAGAGCAATAAAGACATTACGTGCAAACAGAAGAGGTTTTTACCCCAGCGCACACACAAATCAAACTTGTTTTTAAAGGCATAGTATACTCGGAATTATTATTTTTTTTAAAAAGACTACTAGTTTATGACTTCAGTTACCTAAATGCAACCCCACAAATACCACAGAGTTATAAGGATGAAACTGGGGCCGGGGGCGGGGGGACGTCCAGCCCTTACAGGCTCCCACCACAGCTGCATACCAGCACGAGAACGCTTTTACTCTTCTACCTCGGTGGCTGTAAGCCTTGGCCCTGATCCTGACAGCAGCTCCGACGGCCTGAAAGGTGGCTCTGTTTCCTCTCTGCTCATCATAGTAGCTTTGAACAACAGTCAATCACTACAAGCAACTTCCAAGAACAATTTTCTAACAGTAGAAAGTCCACACACACACACACACACAAAAAAAAAAAAAATCCAAGTCCTGCCTTTGATCAAACTTCCTCAGGTTTGTCCCACTAACTGAGAACAGTGTTAATATTCAGAAGAAAATGACTATAAGAACTGCAGCGCTAAGATTTTTTTATTGTACCTACAACACGTGTTTGTCAACACACACACAGAGCCTCTGTGGCCACATAAACAAGCAGCTCTGCAAGGCCTTTTATACGTTCAAAGACCTTCACAACTTAAATACCAGTAACATTTAACAGAACTCCTCCGTCTTTCAAAAAGTCTGGAAATCACTACCTTCCCCAAACACTTCATAAAACACTGGGACAACGCCTGGTGTTACTAAACCTTCGCTGACTGTTAAGAATACAATACTATGATTTACTGGTATTTTCCCTTTAATAAAGCATCATTATCAAAAATCCTTCAGTAACACAAAATGAAGCAATAAAGCTCCTCTGCACAATAAGAAAAAATAATTAAGTAATTACTGATAAGAAACTCGCACATCACCAACTTGGGGTGTATATCAATTGCGGGCAACAAAATCTGAGCAGCCCTTATGAAAAGAGGTTACAAGTTATCTCACGGCAGTCTTTAAAAAGTATAAGGAGACACTCGGAATCCACAAAAACTCTCAAGTACTCATATAGCGTGACAAGCCCCTGGTTCCAGCTGGAAATACCACAAGGCAGAAAGTTGTGAGTGGAAGTCAGCCCAGCCACAGCATTACTTTCCTTCCTCAAAAGGCAGTGGGCTGCAAGGTCCCTCTGCTCACCAGCACAAATCCATTTCTGGTTTAATTTGCATGCAGGTCGTTAATAAATACGTTACTATAAAAATAGGGGGGGGGTTGAGACTCTAGAAAATCTCAGCCAAGGTACTATGAAGATCCGCACGAGTGCCTCCTGCTCCCAGATGCTTCCTCTTTCGTCTGATACAGACGAGGCAGCTCCAAACACAAGAGAAAAACTTGGCAAAGGCGACATTTTGAAAGGGAGCAAAGGGGAAAAGAGCATTCTGGGTAGTTCAAGTTTAGTTCCAAGACGTGTTTTTATAGAAATGCCGTGTTAAATGTAGCGGACAGCTGAATCCTGTCATTCAAAGCGCACAGAGCATCAGAAATATGTTAAGTCACCTACACAACGCACATTCATGAGCTAACCGGCAGCTGCAAGACTCGCCGCTGCTAATGGCTACGAGGACCCTCTTCATTCCCAAACTCTTACGGAAAGTTGATTATATATTTTATTCCTAAGTAAGCCGTTTGCTGGGAGGAGTTACGTATTTACAAACAAAGGCTTCTACACTGCTACAGTGCACTCAAAGAGGACAATTTTCCTTTTCCCTTGATAAAAACACAGCACGTAAATAAACTGTTCTGTGTTATCACCACAAGCAAAATACTTTAGATTACGGGACGTTCCACAAGGAACAAAAACTTCGGAGACATCTCCAAGCAAGTTTTAAGCTGAAGTGGCGACGGCGCTGAGTAAGGCAGCTTTAATCTGCATCGAGCACAGCTACGCGTTCAGAGCTTCCTAGCTCTTATTCCAGATTCCTCTAAAAATAACAGGCAATATTAAAAAATGAAGTTGGCACAAGATGCACGTGTCAAAAAGTTCAATTGTGAACTAGGAGAGAGTTTGGGTTGGGTGGGTTTTTGGTTTTTTTTTTTTTTTTTTTTGAAAGTTAAGACTGGAAATTAAAGCACAGCCATTGTTCGAGAGCTGTGTGGCCTACAAGAACTTTCGGCGTTAAACCTTGTGTTTTCCTGAAAATCTGGGGAGACGCAGCAGGAAGTGGGTACGCTGGTCACCGAACAAACTGCTTAAAGCAGCGTTAAAATATGGTAAGATAAATGTTACCCCTCACCCCACCTCCCTCACTCTTAATAAAGGAAATTCCTTACTCATGATCTGTCGAATAAAATCTCCGCTCAGAACAAAGTTATTAAACATTGACCAAAAAAAAAAAAAAATTCGAGTATTTCTCACGATGGGGCAAGAGGCAGACTCTTCACATTACAGGCGTGCAATTAAAAAGGGCCAAACGCTGTTATTAGGCGAAAACGGGATAAAAACAAGGAAAAAAAAAAAAAAAACCAAACACCACAGAAAGAGAAAGCCCCCAGGGTCACCCAGC